ACCATGGGGAAAGTATATGTGGCCGTAATCTTGGTGATCGCTGTCTATTTACATTGCGCTGATGCTCAAGTTTCCGGTAATTAATTATAAAATTAATTATCAATTAAATTGTAAATTCTTATAATATCAAATTTATTGTTAAACTCAAATTTGCCACTACTTTGAACATGCTAATTTATTCTTAATATACTAAAACGTCATAAATTATTTTATATATTGATAAATTAAATATAAACTGAAATAAATTAACCAGCATTAGTTTAGGTTTAATATTTCTTTAATTTAAATATCGTCTTAAAAAATATTTTGAATGAGTTATAAATATTAAAAATTGAAAAACATTTTTTTATTAGCCTAGTGTGTATTAAAAAATAATGCTACTTTGCTTGAACATATGTAAATTATTAATTTCTTTTTATTAATTACCAAGATTGTAGATGTGGTATGGCGGTAGGTCATTTCTGCGGATCACGACGCAACGTTCCGCTGCCCAAATCCGAACCATACCTTTCCGGGAAAGGGTGCGACGAAAACACACTATATTATTGTAAATTCCAGCATGATGTCCCTACCCCAATCGAATTATGTCCTGTTGAGGCATGTCTACAAAATGAAAAGACTGGCGAAGATGTGTGCTTGGTCCCTGGTATAAATATAATTTTCTAAAATATTTTGATTAAGTTATAAGTATTTAAAATCAAAATTCTTGAATTTTTCTATTAGTTTAGTAAATATTAAAACAATGACTCCTTTACTTAAACATATAAATATTAATTTATCTTCCCACTAAATTTTAAGATTGTAGGTGCGGGGCAGTGCTAGGTCGTATATGTGGCTCCAGAAGCAATGTCACGGTGCCCGGAACCGAACCGTACCTTTCTGGAAAAGGATGCCTCGAAAACGCCGTATACGAGTGTAAAACTAAACATGGTTACCCTATCCTAATTGAAAATTGCCCTGTTGAGGCTTGCAAGGAAAATGAAATCGTAGTCCAAGATGTGTGTTTGCCTAAATAAATTTTTCAACAAAACAATTAAATATGCAAATTAATAATGAGCTTGCAAATTATTTTGTTGAAATTTAATTTAGAACAATTTTGCTTTGATTAAAATATCTTTAGCATCGACTTCGTGTTTAATAATTCATTCATTTTCATTTATTCATTTTAACCTGTGTAAATATCTACTAATTATCGACATACATTGTTCTGTATATGTGATACATTACAATTAAAATATATAAATTTTCAATAAAGAATACGTGAACTGCTTATTAAAATATCATTAGATTATAAATACAAAAATTGCAAAAAAATGTTATAAAACCAATATGTACAGTAAAGAAATGACATGGGGTGAAATTTGGGTGTCATTCGAGGAATAATGATTATAAACGGGATAAGTGAATTTTTAAATAAATATTTACACATATCAACAATAATACAAAAATTTAGAAGTTAATTTGAGACAAATTTCGATCATCAGTATTTGTTAAAGGTTAGTATTATTTATATAAAATAATTATATATACAGTATATAATATCTAATTAACGCCTATTTTAGTATTTACAGCGCGTATATGCAGCAATATTGTCGGCAATACTTATCTGTCAGTTATACGACATTTCAATGAATTATTTTAGTTATGAATACGCCATCAGAATCGACACGAAATCACACGAAACAAATAATAAGTATCCATTTATATCACTTATCGCAATATCATAAGATAAATATTTATTCTATAGCGACAA